AAACCCCATTTTTTCCCCCAGAAAGAGCATTACAAACTCCAGTTTCCCTTTAGCAGGTTTTAAAAGTCCCTCAACTCCCCAGCATATTTCTCTCTGACACTGCACTCCACCCCAGCTTCGCTAATCCTTCCCTCCCCTTTCCCCCCACCCCCTTATTGGATATTTGGGGCTAGCATTATCATGTAGAGGCCTGGAAGGTATGTGTTGGGGTAGGAGTGAGAATAGGGAAGAGGTAGGAGCCTCTCTCCCATTCAAACAAAGCCCAGGTGTCGCCCAGCTTTGTTTCCGGGCTTTCGAAGTGCCCACTCTTTCACTCTAAAATTGTGTTTCACTCTAAGTTGCTAGAGGAACAAATCCGAAGGCGCTAGCCTCCTAGCAAAAGCTACGGATCCCTGGGCCACTCCTCCTCGGACTCAAATATATTTAGCTTCATTATCAAATATTTGCACTGAACCATCTGAGCCTCCTAATAGCGGCTTGAAATGTAACTTGACTCCAGAGGAGAAATGCACATATGACCACATCAATTACCATAGATTAATAGACTGGGGTAGAGTAGAACTTTGGTGCACAAAATAGATTCAACCCAAGCAGAAAAGTCTGCCGGCTTCTCAAATAGCATTTTAGGGAGTTAGAAATTTCCCTCCCCATGTCGTACCCAGCTCTTTTTCGAAGAGTCCGGGTCTTGATAGAACCCCACCACAGTCAGTTTTTAATTATTCTAAGATCTGAGTTTTGCCTGGAGGTGAGGAGAGCCCGAGGAGGTCTAGGGTGAAGTGAAGAATCCTTAACTGGGTCTTTTTATCACACAGGTGTTTTGAAGGATAAACCAAGGTGAGAATTGGAAGATACCTGGTAGATAAATATCAGATATTAAGCGCCTTTAGCTGCCACGGGAAAGTGACGGGCGTGGGGGGTGGAGAGGAAGGGAAGGAAGATCTGGTTCTTAATTAATTGAAAGCTCGAATCTCCGAGGCTAAATCAGGTGGCAGGATCCTGGGGCTAAATAAAATTCCAGTCCCTTCGGGGTACTTCTTTTCCCTTCCTCTCCTCTAGTTCTTCCAAGAGCTCCTCTGGAGAACCAATGCAATTCCTTCTTGCAAGGTACGGGGGCTTCTGCACCTCTGAGCTAAGGCACCGCGGTCCCTGAGCCTTTCCCTGAAGCAACACTGGAGGGACCCACATTGTTGAGAGAAGTTTTTTACAACCTCGCACAGAGCTCTATCGCTGTTGTTGTTATTACTATGACAACGTGGACCGTGGTTTTATTTTTAATCGCTAGCCAATGATTAAAACTGGCTCAGGCATTTTTAAAAAATGCAGCTATCACTTTCCACCTCGGTGTGATATCACTTTGTGCCCTCTCTCCACCCAGGCCACCCCCATCCCCTCGGGGTTGGAGAGCTTAAACCCCCCTCCCATTTGGGTATCATTGGAAGAGGATGAGCCTCTAAAGGTTACCCCCTCCTTATCATAAAACATTTGGAAATGCTTGCTCACTGGATGAAATGTTTTCCATCCTAAAAAAGGCCTTTCTTTTAAGTGCTTCCAAGTCTTTTAAAGTTTTTCTCCCTCCTCTCTCTCTCCCCCTCTCTCCAGACCACCCTGAGAGTATCTATTACATCACGGGAGTTCTGCGACTGCCTCCCTCCACCCCCCTTGAAAAATCTACTTCTGTTTGGACCGGGGTGTTGTTGGTGACAGGAGAGGGAAGGGGGAGTTAGACACACAGAAAGAGAGAAAGATACAGAAAGACAGAGAAAAGATAGATACACACGGAGACAGAGGTAGAGAGAGACAGGTAAAGAAATAAAAAAATAAGAGTGAAAAAGGACCCTTAGCCAGTACGGGTTGTTCCTCTCTAAAGCATGCTTCAGTCTATAGCCCAGCAGAAAGACGAAGAAAAATGCCTTCAAGGGCCTGTCTTTTGAAATGCGGGAAAATGGGCCAACCGGGAGGCCCGGGAGATGAAAGGCCCTGGGGCTGGTAGGTTGCGCCTTTACTGCCCATTGTCTAGCTAAGCGATGGTTATCGCTCTCTGGGTTGGGTAAAGGGAGTTAATCCACTTAAATACTGTTGGATTCTCTGTGGAGCAAAATTCTTCGCGCTGCTATTAAGGTGCATTTCTTTCCCCCAGTCAAGGGGGTCTCCATTTAAATTACAATGAGTTCAATGGACTGAGATCTCGGGTGGGGGTCGCCCGACCGGCTCCCAGTATAGACTTCAGTACGGTAGAATGGACTTTTAAAAATAATTCCTTTTGGGAACGCCAGAAGCAGCTCAGCAGCGCCCAGGTTTGAGTATTCTGTAGGGCACGTAACTGCACCCTTCTCTCTGTTCCCTGCCCCCTCCCACCTCAATAGCAGGTTCTTTTCTCCTCCCCTGGATCAAATATTAGTGTTTTAATGGGTGAGTTCAAATGTGAATAATTGGGGACGACCGTTGATATAAACTTCGAGGTGTCTGGTTCTGCCCCAGCCCCACGCCGAAATCATATACAGGAAGGGAGGAATCTACTCCAGTTCCAGGTTAATATGTAATATATTAAACTCCAGGGAGGAGGGAAGCAGTGGGGGCCAAGGAGTCCACCAGGGCTTTGACTTTGAACTCCCCAAGCTGAAGAGGTGTGGGTCTCCGAAACTGCTCCCACCTAAAGCTTCTTCCTCTTCCCCAAGGCTCATCTGCCAAGCTGCGCCGGTGGCTCTGGGCCTAGGCAGCTTGGGGGTACTGGGGCTACTGACAGCGCCACCCCGGATCTCTCTGCTCCTCTCAGATCCCAGATTAATCGATACAGGAGTTCCTGTCTCCGGCGTCCACCTCCCTGCCCGCCACCTTCTCCCCCATCAAGTTTTCTAACTGATAACATGGGTGGAACTGACGCCCTAATGCTGCCTGTGTTCCCCGAAGGGAAAGCGGGGACAGTGCGGTGTAGACAGGCCCAGGAGGCTGGAGGACAGTCCCCTCCCTACCGGGCTGGACCCCAGGGCGGCGGCTGGCCTGGCGCAGAGCTGGCTGCTAGCATCAAAGGCTAGAGCTGCCCGACCTGGCGCGCTGCCTGACGCTCCCCACCATTCTCAGCCCCTGCAGACAGTTTCTCACATCCTGAAAATTGGGGCGGGGGGCGGGGAGGAACACTATATGGACTATAGTCTACGGGTAGGGGTGGAATATGTGTGTGTGCCTTTGGAAGGGAGGGGTTTCGCCCCATTCACTTTATCCTCAGATTTCTGATGGGGGGCGAGTAGGGAAGGGTCAGCCATCCGCTGCAGCCTCATCTCACCCCACTATCCCCTTTGCGCACTGCGCTGAGAACGCAAACGCAGCTGCACGGATACTGAGGCTAGATACCTCTCTCGGATTCTTCAGAGTAGCGTACATGCGTGTATATGTGTGCATACGTGAAATTATACATGGGGGAGGGGTTGTGAAGGATGGGGCCAGCTGATAATAATGGCGCAGGTTTCTGTATTTTAGGAGGCAAGGCGGAGTGAGATTAGAGTGAGTGAAGGATTTTCTTTCTTTCTTTTTTTTTCTTCTTTGCGCAGAAGCTCCCGGCTTTTCAGAAGGCTTTGGCTGAACGCGACAGCGACTGATCTGCTCATTTCCCTTTCCCTCCCCTCCCGGGTGCCGCAGGATTGCGGCTGGTACCAGAGCAGTGGGGAAGGGAAGGGCTGGGGGGGAGGGAGAGGTCAGGAGAACCCCGACTTGGGAAGAAGAGTGTCTCCCTTTCCTCCCGGCACCCCATCTCAACCCTGGCTTCTCGTTCCACTCACCCTCTTTCCTGGGTCCGGCCCCGTTCCCCACTTGCCCCCTTGCCTTTACCCAAAGCCTGGCTGTGCTTTCCTCTCTCTCTCTCTCTCTCTCTCTCTCTCTCTCTCTCTCTCTTTCTCTTTCTCTCTGCTTTGCAGCAGTGACCGCTGCACTGCTGGAGCCTGGGTTGCAAGACTGAATGCACTGCCGCAGCAGGAAACCAACCCCCACTACTTGTTGGTGGTTTGGTGCCTGGAATACTATAGGGAAGGGAAGGCTAGTTGAGGGAGGGAGTGAGGGAGGGGAGAAGGAAGGGGGTGGGGTAAGAAAAGTAGGGGAGGGGAGGGGAGGCGGTGCATCGAGAGGGAGGGTGCCAATGGTATAACCACCTCCTCTGTAGCTTGCCCGATTTCACACACTCGCCTAGGCGCGGAGCAAACACAACCTCCGGAGACCTCTCCAGGAGTTTACCACTACCCTCCCTTTCTGGAAAAAAAATTTTTTTTCCTGTCTGATCCAGTCTAGCCCCAGGGATTTAAAACCTTTTTCTCTTTTTGGCCAACGGGGAGGAGGAGAAGGAGGTGGACTTAAAACGGGCAGCGAAGGCTGCCATCTGGCGCTGCCCTTTTTCCCTCGGCGCTGTCTGTATTTCCCCACCTCAAGCTGAAAGGGGAGGGAGGCAAGAGGAGGAGGACCAAGAGAAGGAGGAGGAGAAGTGAGGGGGACGTTGTGGGGTGGTGGTGTGGGAAAACGGGCATCCAGCGAGCAGGTCCCAGGCAGAGGCCAGCCCCGGCTGTTGGTAGACTGGCTGGGGGAGAGTCCGGAGCGTTTCGGAATACAGCCCAGCCCCAGCGCAGAGCTGCGGTGTTTCGGGCGGGGAGGGGAATTGCTTAGGGGGCTTTTCATCGTCTCTGCAAGTCGGAGGCGGGGAGTGTATAGTGGGGGGAGGAAGAAGGAAGGAGCTGGCGAACCCCGGCTCAAGCAGACAGGTGATGGGCGTTTCGGCCGCCGCGGCGGCGGTGGTACTCCGGTTCCATTCCTTGGGTTTCACTCTGGTCTGATCTAAGCAAATATGCAGAAGTACCGGCTGGTCTGCTCTTAAAGCCAAAAAAAGCAGAGCTAGGGAGAGAGGGAGTGAGAGAGACGGCTGCAGCCCCAGATCCGGGAGCTACAAAAAATATATATAATAATAAACCCAACCCCCCTTTCCTCCTCCCCTCCACCAGTTCCCCCACCCCCCCACCCCAGCGGCCGAGGAGGATCCCGGAGCGGCGCACACACACTCGCTCACACACACGCGCGCGCACACACACACATACACACACGCGCACACACACCAGTGTCTTTCTCCCTGAGGGATGGTACTGAATTTCGCCGCCACTGGAGCCCGGCTGAAGCTCCTACACCGCAGCTCTGCGTTCCCACCGAGTCTAAAGTGCACCCGGACGCGATGAGGACCTGGGTTTGTGTTTTGCTCCTAGGGTTTGGATACCTGTCCTATGCCTTTTCCGAGGTAGGTACCCCCTGCCCCATACCCACCTTCCTTATCCCCCTCGTTGCTTCTCCTGTGCTGCCTCTATTCCCTTTTCCTAGGATTCAGGCACCTGGGGGCGTCTTGGCTGGGGTGGCTAAAGACCCCCCAAACCCTTCTAGGCAGAGATCATTGGCAGGTAGTTGCACTGCATATCTTGCTCTGCAGATATTATTTAAAAATTGTGGTGGTGTATTTTTTTTTCCTCCCCCCAAGCACGTTTTATTCTAGAAGCTCTCAAAGTATTTATTTTTGGTGAGTTTCCAGGATGTCGCGTTGCTTTACATTAAGGGGGGGAAAGCTGGAGGGAAGGATTAAAATGGGTTGTCTGTGGAAAAGAAAAACTTGGGGGGGTCTATAGACAGGAATAAGCAGGCAAGGCTCTTGTCTCTTTCCTGAGAACCCCTAAGCTGCCCCCCCATGTGGGGGAGGGCTGCGGTAACGGGGTGTGAAAGAAAAGGGGTGTGTATAGACTTTGGGGGACGGGGTGTGAGGGGTGCTTGCGGAAGGAGGGTGTGAGAGGAGAAAGCTCTTTTGCCCCGGTTCCCCCACAGGTAGGGGCGGCTGTGGTCGGAGCAGGGTTGGACGAATAGAGGCAGCACCAGGGTAGACGAGCCCTTCGTGCAGGGGCACGGACTCAGTCCCGCCCGGGGCCTGGTTACAGGTGGCTGTTGGAAGCCGGCAAGGGCTGGCTGGGGGCTCGGGTGGCGGGCGCGGCTTTTTCTCCTCGGCTCTGTGCAGCTCCTTCCCAGCCAGAGATTCCCCATTCCACTCCCCTTGGGCCATATGCCCGGAAGAATGACAGGGGCCCTTAGTGGAAGCCTTGTTATTAATGATTTTCCAAAAACCGAAACGTCCTCTTCACTGAAAGCTCCTACGTGGGAATTTTACAATGAATCCCCTAGGGTGACCCTTTTTAAATAAAGGGCTTTGCCGAGGAAAAGAGTAGGTGTGGAGAGTAAGAGCAGGGACCATGGCCTGGTGGGTGCTCCCTTCCCCCCCTTTTTTTTTCCTGGGGGAAGGTAGTGGATATTAACCCCCAACCATCTTGATCGCTTTTATTGGTCAATTTATTTAAGTAAAGCTTGTCAATTCTTCAGGCTCGGCTGGGTTGGTGAGAAGGAGGTGGTTCAGGGGGTGGGATGGGGGTGCTATATGAGAAAAGGTGGGGGTTGGGGTTGGGGCTGGGAGGGGGCGTGGAGATAAGTATGGGGGGGAGATCTCTCCTCTTAGGGTAAGATTAGGGTTTCCAGGGCGAGAAACTTAAACTCTTCTTATTAAAGTGTTAAAAAAAAACAAAACCCTGCCTGTGGCTTTCAGTTACCCATCCGTGACGCATTTCAACTTGATCTTTCTGGATGTCAATTTCTCTATTTTAAACCCTAAACACACTGGGGCCACCGAGACTCTTCAGCCCCCACTGTTCCTTCTGCAACTGACACCCCAGATCGAAGTAGTCAGAGCTGGGGCTTTTGTTCCACATTAAGAGGTGGGGGGTGGTGATGGTGGTGGTGTTTAAAAAGAGTCTGCATTCTGAGGTGGGTGGACCAGTACGAGGGAGGGCCGAAAAGTCCTTTTAATGGGGGTGGGTTATTATACACCTCCTAAGTCCCCTACGTTTCTCTTTCTTTCCTGTTAAAGTAAGCCGGGGTGTAACGCGGTATTAAGATTTAGAGGGGGCGTTCGGCCTGCACAGCCGGTTGCAGGAATTAATGGGCTGCTTGTAAGGGCGCTGTGCATATCCGCTACATGAATTTTCTTTCTTAAAGTGGGTTTAGGCAGTGGGGGAGAACTGAAGGAGAAGGAGAGATAAACAAGTGCCCAGCACAGCCAGACTGAAGAGTAATTCACTGGGCTAGAAGGCTACCACTGCCCAAACACTGGCACGCACACGCCCACAAGCCCCACTGCTTCTAGGTGCCACCCGCTTTGGCGAAGGCTTTCCTAGCCCGGCAGGGCACTCATAAGGTGTTTGGGTCTGATTCCCAGGAAGCCGAAATCCCCCGGGAGGTGATCGAGAGACTGGCTCACAGTGAGATTAACAGCATCCGCGACCTGCAGCGCCTCCTGGAGATAGATTCCGTAGGTAAATTAATTTCTTTTTTTCCTTTGCTCTGCCAGGAAAAAAAAAGGGGGGGGGGGCTTGAGGGAAGGTGGTGAGTGAGGGGGGACTGATCCCCCTCACCCCCAGCTGCGAACACGCGTGTGTTTGCTTATGGCAGGGATTGCACTGCTCTCCCCTGGGTCTCCCAACCGGAGTAGGCAACTCAGACCGAAAGGTCAGAATCCAATCCGGGAGCTATAAAAACATGCCGATGAGTCAGGAGTTTCTTCCCCAATCACTACTTTCTCTCCCAGGCTGCTTGACTTGGGTGACTTGTCTGCCCAGGGTTCCTTCCTCAAAAGGAGGATTGTTTTTTTCTTTAAGGAAAATGTAGTCAGTGTTAATAGAAGTTCAGTTAAATAGAGAAGAATTGATACTCTGGCTTCCGAAGGCTGGTCTTCTCCCTTCAGACCTCGGTAGTGAGGGTTTTTTGGAGGAGAAAGGGGGAGGGTCATAGCACATGCGGGTGATTTCACCCGCCAGCCCCAATCCAGTTCACGGCTTCTCGAGGAGTATTAAGGAAACCGGCCGTCAAAACATGACCCCCCACGCTGGAATTGTAAACTTACGGGCACTCATTCAAAGGGCCAGAAGAGAGTAGTTTTCCCCTCCACTGGGTTTGCAAACACGCTTCTAGAGATGAGATGCCGGCTAGTCAACGACCTCTCTGTGAAACAAATCGCTGGACTGGTCGATTCCTATCGCACATACACCTTGTTTGTTGCTGCAATTCAAGGTGGGGTGGCCTGGGGGTGGGGGAGGGGGTGCAGCCGCTGCGGCGGCGGTGGGGAGTAGTTACCCCTTGTTAAAGTGCTCTTTGTAATCACAGCAAGCTGTTGCCATATTACTGATTGTGGGTCTGGCCTTTGTGGTTTAAACAAATGCAGCTTTGTCCCTTTCTCTACCCTCCTTTTCTTAGCACATTTAAAAAGGCATGCAGCCACATCTGCTGTTTTTCGGGCTATTTTCAGATCTCCCTCAGTGCTTCTCTAGTCCATAGAATCCCTTAATTGTTGTTACTGTTGTTTGTAAGGCTTACTTCTGGAAGTTGCAAGGAGCCCTGTGGTAAAGTTGCCTCAAACTCAGGCACTTTTCTACGGCCAACTTTTTTTTTTTTTTAAACCCTACGGAGGAGAGCTAGGATGGGGTGGGAGTGTGTGTGGGACATGGTGGGGGGGGGGAACGACAGTGAGCTCCTTACCGTGATGGGGAGGGGTCTCTTATCTTGATCACTGTACTGAAACATAGCTTCAGCCTTAGCGGTGAATTGCTGAAGGGTGGAACAAGTTAGTGCTTATTCAAATCCAGCCTGGTTTGGGTCCTGAAATGTAGCTGAACTAGGTGATACTTTGTCGCTGGGGTTTTGAAAAAAAACCTCTTCCTTCTTAGACCCTCCAGAACATTATATAATAGGCTGTTCACCATGCTTCTTTGGTTTGGGGAATTTGGTTGCTCAGAATACATTCTTCCTTACTGGGAAAAAAAATGAATTCTGAGTCAGCCTCTCTCTGAAGCTAGAGGACACTTACGTTATTTATGCATATGTAGTGGCAGATACTGGTCAGAAGGCTACAAGTGAGTGAATTGCTGAGCCTAGTATTTGAATTTATTCTGTTCCTGCAAACTATTCTGAGAACACTGAGGGAGGAAAAATGAACATAATCATATGGTGCACTCATTTGGAAATTTGTACTTAATTATGGGAGTGGAGAGGCCTAAACTATTTCATTTCATGCCAAGACCATTTTTATAGTAAGAAAGATGGCTTCTGGAGTTTCTTGACCCAGGAAATCCATTGGTTGATCCTTATCACTTCTGAGGTAGAATTTCTCTTAACACTTGAAAGAGAAATTTAGCTTGATTCCATTCCCTGATTTGTAACAAGTATTGAACTTGGATGTCTTTGTTTCATTCAATTGAACTGGAGTCGCAGCTGGTATTTTGGTGGTGCTGTATGTACTTTTGGAGAGAAAGGAGACCACAGGGAGTTTGTATGACTTTGATTTCTTTCCACTAAAGGAAGGATTTTTTTTTTCATCTTTTGGTGGGGGTGGACCACCATTTTGGAAGAGAATAGAAGCAGCAGGGAAATAGACCATTCTCATTTCCTACTTAGACCATTCTTATTCTCTGCTGCACATCCCTCCATCCCCCACCCATTAACACCTTTTAAAACCTAAGCTCAGCCTGTTGAATTGATAGGTTTTGCATTGCTCTGAGGTGGCTAGCCTCACACCTGGAGGAGTAAGAATGAAGGGTACTTTGAGGAATCACCACTCTGCCCACCTGGGATCCTTTCCTTTAAGCCCTCTCTGTATACTAGGATAAGGGGGGAAGAGCACAGACCTTGCCTACTCAGATGATGGAAGGTCTGGGAATGCTTTCCAATTTTTAAAAGGTGTTATTTTGAAAGGATTAATTTTGGACCTCTCACTAGAGTCTAGCAGAAGATAATTTTAAGGAGGCCCTTCTTTCTATCTTCCTTAATTGTGAAAAGTAATCTCGTTAGAGGAAAGTAATCTGGTTCTTGGGATACCTCTCATGAGAAGGATATTTGGAATTCTCCTTGCTTCTGAGCTGTTCATAGGATCATAGATTTAGTGCTAGAAGAGAACCCTTCATGGTCTAAATCAGGGGTGGGGAACCTTCGACCTCGAGGCCACAGGTGGCCTTCTAGGTCCTTGGGTGTGGCTTTTTGATTGAGTCCAAGTTTTACAGAACAAATTAAGGGATTTGTTCTGTGAAGTTTGCCTTCAGTGAAAGGACTTGAGGACCTAGAGGGGCCGCTTGTGACCTGGAGGCCAAAGGTTCCCCACCCCTGTTCTAAATAGTCCTTATTTTACACATTACTAAACTGAGGCCTACGGAGATGGGGAACCCAAGTCACAGAGGTAGTTAACTGAGACATAGGTACTCTGTCCCCAAAGCCTGTGTTTCTGTTGTATTATGTTGGCTCATGGTGTTGCCCCTCTGGGACAACCTTCATAGAATTCTGGGAATTAGAAGTGGAAAGGGCCCTTAAGAGATGATTAATGTAACTCCTTCATTATTAGTATTTTTTTAAATTTATTTTTCGAGGCAAATGGGGTTAAGTGACTTGCCCAGGGTCACACAGCCAATAGGTGTCAAATGTCTGAGGATGGATTTTGAACTCAGGTCCTTCTCACTCACTGTATCACCTAGCTTCCCCACTCCATTATTGTAGAGGTGAAATGACTTACCCATGCTCACACAGAGGCAGTATAGTAGCAGAGGGAGTTGGCATTCAAACCCAAGTCTTCTGAATAGAATAAAAAACCAGTTATCTTGGCACTACACCAGATTTTCATCCTATGAAGACAATAGAACCCTTGGGATTCCTATTCTTTAGAAGGGGGCACCGTAAGAGACAGTCTAGTGGTTAATGTTGTTGGGCAGTAAAGAACCGGGAGAGGGATGCGCCATTCAAGAATTACCTTAAATGCAGGTGACATGACAACTTTTGTTGACCTTGCTTGATCATAAAACTGTAGGAAAATTTCCAAAGGCTTTTTTTTTTTTAAAGTAAGTTGGGAGTTATGACAAGTACTGCTGACCTTGGGCGGAGATTTTTGTTTTTTGCATTTGATTCCAGCAGGGCTAGAACAGGCCTAGAAGGGAATCCACAGGTAGCTTGGAGGTTGCTTTAGTAGTTGATTATTCATTGGGGAATTATGTGTGGGTTTATACCTGCTGTTAAATTCATTTCAGTCAAGAGTTTCAACTTCCTTCTTCACCAAAATATTTCACCAGAGGCTGATTAAAAGGAAAAAAAAAAGGTATAAGGTGGGCACCAGAAAAGATTCTCCTCCAAAGAGCAATGCTATTCAGCACAAAAGGGACCCTAGTTTTAGAGACAGAAGGGAGCTCATGGATCCCTCATTAGGGTCCAATCCCCTCATTTTGCTGATGAGGAAACTGAGTTCAGGGAAAGTTGTGGCTCTCCCAGCTGACACTCCTACACACTACGTGCCTGGAGAGTAATACATCATTTGTACTTTTCAGTGGTAGCTAGGTGGTAAAGGTCCAGGAGTTAGGACGACTGGCCTCAGATACTTATTAGCTATGTGACCCTAGGCAAGTCACTGAACCTTTGTTTTTCCCCAGTTGTGAAATGGGGATAATAATAGTACCTCCCTTCCTCAGAGTTGTTTTGAGAAATAAATGAAATATTTGTAAAGTGCTTAGCACAGTATCTGGCACATAGTAGGTACTATATAAAAATGCTGGTTATTATTATTTTTATTATTGTCCCAATGAGATAATAGTTATAAAGTACTTAGAAAGTACCTGGTATATGGTACTTAATAAATGCTTTTTCCCTTCCCCTTACTTGTTCCCACTGAGGTACATAGGTGCTTAACATGCTTAATTAATTGCCTAAGGTCATATAGGTAGAATGTGGCAGAGCACTGCCTTACTAGGGCCTAATAGGGCTTTGAAATCTTATCTTTTGTTCTTGATTTCTTGGAGGCTGGGCTATGGCTTTAGTTTTGATAAGGCAAGGAACTGACTACAATTTGGGTTGAACTTTGGGTTTGCTAACATCATTTGAAAGCCATCAAACTCTAGCCTGTGCAAGTTTTATTTATTTATTTAAAATACATAAATGATAGTCTTGAATTTTAGGACACATCTGCTATGATTAATTAAACCGAACAATATTATTGTTGCTGTCTCAGATCTGGGTTTTCCCCTAGTCAGATTGGCACAGTTCCAAGGTGTCCTGGTGAAGCTAATAGAATAAATATACCCATTCAGCCCCATTAATGCACTGCCCTGGACTAATTGCTGAGAATTTCTACCCATCATTTCCATGTTGTTAGTACATCAATGCAGAAAAGATTAAAGCAGAGCTACTTGATTAACTGTCTTGAAAACAGTTTAAAAAGTGATTCAGAGGAGAGCTTTGCCCAACTGAAAGTTGTTCTGACTTTGCTCCATGACAAATCCTGAAAGTTCATGTGGGTGAAGTTGCCTCTCTGGATTTGTGAGTGAAGATATCTTTTCCCTGGCTCAACAACAATCAGGCGCTACTCAATTTGTGTTCTTGGCCACCCTTCTTGTTAACTAATGACGTTTCTATTGGCCTGAGTTATTCCTGGGCAGGTAAGAGTTATGTCACCTTGGAAGCACTTTCTGCCCTTTATAATTGGGAGAAAGCTTTCTCCATAGTAAAGTCCTTTCTGATCTTAAAGAACATTGCTAAACAGGATTTTTTTTGTTTGCCCACGTTTATTGAAATTAGTACAAAAAATTGAGTAAAAGCTTATTAAGGAAGTTGACAGTGAAACTTAACTAGGTGGTATTGTAAAGAAGATTTGGCATTGGCAACATGGCTACCATAAAAGGATGACTCAGAAATGTCCCTTTCATTAAGAAAAAAGTGCTTCTCAAATGATTGGTTGATAAGAAATAACTTTTTGCATCAGCAGAGTCAACATGAATTCTGATCTGATTACTTTAGGTCTTTAGAAAACAATGCCTACATTGGAAATCCAAGGTTAGGTAAAAAAAAATAAGTTCAAAATCTAGTATTTTCAGTTTCCATGAACGTTATACGGGCTTCTATTTTTCTGTAATGCAAATGTCAGATTTGAATGGACTGGAGAAGCCGATGAAGAATCATAGAATTTGAGAACCATAAAAGTTTGTAGACTTAGTGTAAGACTCTTTTTTACAGATAAGGAAATTGAAGCCCAGAGAAATAGAGTGGCATAAATAGTACTATGTTATGGCAGAACCAAAATCCTGTCTCTGGACTCTGTAGGTCCAGGTTAGCCTAGTGGTCATCTTTTTTTTTTTAATATTCTAACCTTTTGGCCTTGAAGTTCTATGGGTTGGCCAAGATACTTATAGATGCCAATTAAGTACCAATTAATGCCTCTTTGTGATCATGAAACTGAATAAATCCTAACTTCTTTAACAGGAAAAAAGTCAATGATATCGTTTCATGACTTCTTTTGCCCTCAGGTATGTGTTACCAGTGAGATAACTATTCAGGTGTCTTATGACACTATCTTTTCAGTTGCCCGAGGCTGAAGCTAGCAAGTTGTTACACAAGAGCACATAGTTGTATATTGTTCATTGAAGGAGTTGTAGGGGTGTGGGGGAGAGACTTGGAGGATTCATATGGCAAATGGTGCAGGTCTTAAGGTAAATAAAGTATGAAATAGGCTTTCAGCTGCATATGGTGCAGAAGTTAGGACAGTTCAAAAGTTAACTCAGGAGGGTAAAAACACTTTTAGCCAGCATGCAGTGCAACTGACATTTTTTGCAAGGGGCAAGCTACCCACCTGCATTTTAAAAAATGTATTTCTTTTATCTTCGCAGGCATCAGTAAAACCTATAAAACCTATAAACATCCCCTTGTGTCACAAAGGGCACTATGATCCTCGTGTAGCATGTAGAAGAATTTTGTCAATTGAATTGAGTTGATTTTTATTGCTTTTGGCTTGCTTTTTTATTTTCTCTATATGTGTTCGTAATTTTGAATTTAATGATATCTTTGTATATAACTCATTTCTGAATGTACCTGTTTCCTTCCCCTTCCCATCCCTTGTAACAAAGAATAAAAAAGACAGAAAAAAAGCAGTTCATTGTACCTAATAAACACATTCAGCAAGACCTAGTGTATGTGCAACGTCCTACGTCGATAGTCTCTCACCTGCAAAGAAAGGGATGGGGGATGTATTTTCTGATTTTTGTTTTCCGCTTCAGGTCAACTTGCTTTAAAAAAAAAACGAACCTTATTTTTCTTACATGTCTTTAAGGAAATGGTTCTACTTAGCAGAACCCAATCATGGAGCAGTTATTAGGTTATTTTATGATAAATTAAATGCCAATCTTTCTGTCTTTGATTTTGCTTTTCTCATGTCCCTTTAACCCATTAATAAGGTTAACCCATGTGATAGGGTTAATTAGGGAACAAGACAAGTTTAGATCCTGTCCAAGAGCCTGGTGTAGCTTCTGATTTCCTTTGGAAGATTAGGACACCCTATTAGGGATATTTTCCACAACTGAGAGACAAAAAGAAAACCCAAACTGGTTGCTTCTTGTTCTTGAATTAGTAGTGATTTCTAGAATGTCAGATGGTGGGAGAATTTATAGAAGAAACATTGTCCCATGGAGGGTCATGATACCATATCTTGTGGGATGGATGTCCATTGGATCTCTTGGGGACTTGTGTAGTGGCCACATACCATCCCCTTATTTTGCTTGCCTCATCTAGCCTTAATTAGAAGACCCCTTTGGATTGCTGGAGGGAGAAATTAGAAAGAGAGCAAAGAAATTTTCCTGCCTATGTAGTTCACTCACATGGCTCCTTCTTGAATGTTGGGTAGGCCAAGGCTTCATTTTTTAATTTGGAGAGAGCAGCTAGGAACTGGATTCTAGTGAGATTCTTTTGTCTTCTGTGCAACTAGGTTGGATCACTATGAAATCCATTTTTCAGTCTTTTATGTTGACAAGTCATATTTGCAAATATCCATTGACCATACTGTTGTTGATTATTGTTCTTTCACTTGGAGGTGTAGATAGTTAAAATATGTCTCTGTGTTACTGATTTCATCCGCCGGGAGCTGGCCGTGGTCACTCACAGTATGCCAGGAGGCAGTGTAGGAGCCAAGAGGCTCAACTGGAAACACAGCTGCCTATACTACAGGTGCTATTTTTAGCTCAATCCAGGCATGGTCATACTTAGTCCCTTGTTCAAGCTGGTCACCTTTCCTTTCTTTTTTCTCCTTAGGATACGAGGATGTTTCAGAGACAAAGCTGAAAGCTCATATGGTCCATGCTCCCAAACATGTGCAGGAAAAGCATCCTGTACCCATTAGAAGAAAAAGAAGTATTGGTAAGAAACCACAAGGACTTGTTTTTTTCCTCCAATAGTAAAAATAACAACTAACATTTATATAGCAATATGAGGTATCCCAAAAGTTTTAACACTGTTTAGACTTTTATTAGACTAAATGAGCTTAAATAGCTTTTGAAGCTTAAAATGGCCCTAAGACTTCTGGGATACCCTGTATAAAGTTTACAAAATGTTTTAAATATAAAATGAGGGGGCCCCTAATGGACAGATTGTTGATAAAGGGGGGCAGTATTGAAAAAGAGGCAGGAAGAGATAATGGAAAAGGAAGAACACTGAACCTGGGGATCAGAATACCTTGATTCTAAAGGTGAAGGAAAAAGAATGGAGGATTTGGAGTTCATGTTCTGACTTCTAATCCTAAATGCTACTCATTGTGTGACTTTGAGGAAATTAAGTGACTCAGGGGAGTGCTGGGCCTACAGTCAGGAAGACCTGAGTTCAGATCCAGCCTCAGACACTTAACTATCTGTGTGACCCTGGGAAAGTTACTTCTGTTTGCTTCAGCTTCCTCAACTGTAAAGTTGGGGGGTGGGAAGAGGGGAAAGGTGGCAGATAACATCATCACCTACTTCCCAGGGTTGTTTGAGGATCAATCAAATGAGATTTGTGAAGTGCTTAACAGGATACCTAGTACTAAGTAGGTGCTATATGAATGCTTCCCTTCTCCTTAGTTAAGTCAGTTCACTTCACTGGGTTTCAATTTTCTTAACTGTCAAATCTGAAGGTTTTTGTAGATAACTTCCCACGGTCCTTTCCAGCCCTAAATCTTATGATCCTAGAATCTTGTCTCTACTACTAATTTTGTGACCAGGTCAGATTAGAAGGGACCTATGTGTTGGTTTCCAAGGTCTCTTCCTGCTTTTAACTTTTTATGATTAAATGAAAATTCTCCATTTGTTTTTGTGGGTGCCTCCCTCCCCAACCACAGCCTTCTCACTGTTATAGTGCTTTGGTGAACAATGAGTCCAAGACAGAGGAGCGTGAATAAATTCTTTCAGTGCCTTGTCTTGTTGCAGCATGTTAGAGAGTAGACCTCAGTTGGAAAATGTGGTTGTATGTAATTTCCAATTCATAACATGGAGCACACAGAGTGCTTACAGCTATTAGCTTCAGAACAGTAGGGTACACAGTAGTACAGACACTCTGGAAAAGTGGGCAACTTGCCTTTTTTCTGCATTTTCTTCCAATCACATCTTTTCCAAAATGTAGCTTGAATGACTGTCTGTGGGGGCTTTATCAGCTTTGTCATTGTGCAAGAAAACAGCACAAATTTCCGGGACATTTATTTTCATACCATTTTTTTTTCCAAGTTGTGGGTGTCTGGCTACATTTAGAAAATGCCAGCTGTTTCAGAAAGAGTATGTGTGTATGTGAGGTGTTGGCTTCTATCTTATCAGTGCTGGTAACCCTTTGTGAGGGGTTTGGGATAGGTAACGTGGGACCTTGATGGTGGGAGTTGGGAATTAGGAATTTTGATTTCCAATCAGGATCTTGAGTTTCGTGCCCATGCAATATCCTCAATTGATGGGGCTGCCCTCTGCCTCTTGGGCTGTAACAAAGATGCCTACCCAGGCAGTATTTCTTTCTAGATTGCTAGGGATGGTGACACTTGAAGAATCAAGTGTATCACTAACTCTCTTGTATCTGTGAAATTGATTTGTTTTTGAATCCAAGTGTAAGGATTCACATTTAGCCCTTTTTGACTTTAGCTTATTAAAAATTTAGTTCAATGGCCTGAGGCCAATTAAAGATGTTTTTGAATCATTACTCTGACATCTAGTATAGAGCTATCGTTCCTGGCTTCCCATTCAAAAAAACATGCCATCTAAAGATTGGTCTACCTAAGTCATTGGGACTAAGTACACAGATAGCTCACTGGAGCATTCCACTGGATAGTTGCTTATGAATTAACATGTACCACCAGTGACCCTTTGAGTCTCATCATTCTACCACTTCTGAAGCCATCTAATTATACTGTTTAGTGCATACCTCTCTATTTAGGTGTGTACCTCACTTGATTCAGTAGATATATCCTGGGGAAAAGATTCCTTTAAGTTTTTGTAAATGAATAATTTTAAATTGTATCATCTACATAAATATGTGATTAGTTAATCAGTTAATACATATTGTTAATATGTATTGTTAATATGTATTAACAATATGTATTGACTGATTAATATGTTAATATGTAATTAGATAAAATAAATAATATGTATTCAGCTCCCAGTTAGGCCCTTTGAAGGATATGGTAGATTTAGAGTAAATAATCTTAGTCCCTGCTCTCAGTGCCCTTATAAATCCAGCTGGGGAGGCAAGATAACATATGAAACAGTCAACAATAGAGATAAAAACACAATACTGAAAAGGCTGAATCCTATCAGACAGGATGAGTGGTATAGTAATTTAGAAGACTTCCAATAAGAGGGAACCCACTATCTCTCAAGTGAACCCACTGAATAAACATGAAAGTCAGAGATTTGGAGTAGGAAAGGACTTTCAAGGTTATCTAGTCTAACTCCTTTATTTTATAATCAAGGATATGAAGTTTCATAGAGGGGAAATGACTTGTCCAAGATTACATATGTAGGCAGTGGAAGAGTTAGGATTTAAACCAATGATGCCTTGACTTCCAATCCTGTTCTATTTCTAGGGAAATATATTGCTTCTTCCTCATTTTCTGAATGAAAAATTAACCTTTTATCCTTACATCAGAATTGACATTTGGGCTTTACTTAATAGTTATACCTGTAACACCTAGTGGCTTGCCTCTAGGGTTGTGGTGGAGACATCATTTAAGATGAATACATTTCATATTCACTTCTAAATAAATGAGTTAGTGCCAGTCATGTTTTCTCCCTACTCTTAGGCTAATTAGGGTCACAAGTCTGACTGATAATGGACAGTGTACTCTGACTCAAGTCTTAGCTAGCATTGAAAAAAAATGGTATTATATAATGTCTGCCAGTCAGAGAACAGCTGAGGACTCTTAAGTTCTGGCCACATTTCCCAGTAATGCACTTAGATTAAGGTGTAAACTTGAGCTTGGTTAGAAGGATTTCTCTCTCAGTTAATCTTTTTTTGGCACTCTCTGAGCGTTCCTCAGGGTTCCAGGTTGTACAGATCAATCTGTACCATTTCAGCTGCCACACTTGGTAGAGAAGAGCAGAAAATAGTCTATTCCTTTGAAATGGTGGCTCTTGCATGATGTAGAAGTGTTAGACCTATGTGTTGAAAGTTATCATGCCTCTTACTCAATCCATTGCTGGTTTCAGTGAAATTCAGGAAAATCTTTATCAAACAACCCATTAAAAATTTCATATGTATACATGTACATATATACATATACATGTATATATACATATACATGTGTATATATACATGTACATGTATATATAAATATAGTGTGTATTCATCCTGCACACTGATGCCAGACAGATTTTCCTAGACTATTGCTTTCTCTTTGCCACTCTTTTCCTCAAAAGCTGACAGTGGTTCCATGTTGCCTACAAAATCAAGTCCAAACTACTCTTCTTAGCATTTAGGGTTCTCTATAATCTGTTCAAAATCTTGTTCTGTCTATAATTCTCCCATTTACACTTACTCTCCACTGTGCACCCTTTGATCCAGCCAATCAAGTCAGATTTTCCTCAGGGTTCTCTATACAAGGCATTCTACCCTTCATCCCTTATCCCCTTACACTTATTCTGGAATATCTTTTTTTCTTTCCTCCCATGACCAGGAATTCTGCCCATCCTCCATGAAGTCTTAGCTACATTAAGTCTTCCCCTTATAACTTTAGGTAACATTGATCTCCTCTGACTATTCAAGCTATGCATTTTGGGCACTTAGAGTCAGATTTGGAAAGGAACTTACAGTTTGAGTTCATGCCCCTTATTTTCAGAGGAGGAAACTGAGGTCCCAAGATGGAAGATGACTCCAAATTTTTGCCCACTTTTCTTTAGGAGAGACTGGTAAAAATAAGACTGGTACACCTTGCTATACTTTTGAAATGGACTTTTAATTTTTCTAATCCCTCTACCTTTTAGGTGGAAATTTAGCTTGGTCATTTTAAGTAAAAACAGTTTTTGGCCTAGGGTTTTACTTGTAGAGTATAGCCTATCTGTTGACATTGGACAGAAAACTTGACATTAAGCAAGGATTAGAGACCATTTAAAGCCATATAATGGAGTCCAGAAGGACCCCTCTTCAAGTTATTAACATTCCCCCTTGAAATTATGTTGTATTACAGTGTACATTTCTGCTTGTGGTATTTGCCCAATAGAATGTAAGCATCCTGAGTGCAAGGTTTGTTTCATTTTTATATCCCCATTCTTGGGGTCTAGAACAGTGTCTGGTACATTGTAAGCACTTAATGAATAATTGTTGACTAATAAATTGATTGTTTCCCCTGCAAGTCCTAGCCAATGCCAGGGATCATGCAAGTAGCAAATATAAGAGCTAAATTTAGTAGAATTCTGATCTCTTCCCCACTCTTGGTAGGGCTTGTATCATATAACTATAATTATCAAATTATTATTACACATTATCATATTCCATTTTTTGATGGGTCTGTTTCTTTTCATACCAAATAGATTATAAACTCCTTCAGGGCAGAGATTTTTGTCTTCTACTTTTGTATCCCACAACTCAGTTCAATGCTGGATAAAAGTGCTCAGAGAATATTTAGGATTATATATTTATAGCTAGAAGGGACTTAAGAGTTTATCTAGTTCAGTCTTCTCATTTTAGAGATGACAAAATGGGTCTAGAGATGGGTGGCAACTTGCTGAAATTCATATGGTAAACAACATGCAAATAGTAGATTTGGACATGACGTGCAAAGCTAGGTTCTCTGCTGATATTCAGTGTATTTTCTACTTATTAAAGCTGTCTGGGCCATAAGATGACCTCTAAAAAGCTCACTGAACTGTGTAGAAACCTTGGCCTCCTGGGAAGCACTTTGTATTATCATTCTGAGTCACTTTCTCATTCAGGGTGTTTTCTCTCGTTATACAGGAATGACCAGGATAGGGGTCTAGATTTGGAGCTAGGAGGAAACTTAAAGAGATCCTTGCATTCAACCCTCCTATTTTACAGATGAAGACATTGAGGCACAGAGAATTAAGTGACTTGACACAGCATCTGAATGTTTGAACCCAGGTCTTCCTAATTCAATTCCAGTGCTGTATCCCATAGGCCAAGGGTGAGGAACCTTCACCCTCGAGGCCACAAGTGGCCCTCTAAGTCCTCAAGAGCAGTCCTTTGAAACTTTTTCAAACTTGATTAGGACATGCTCAATGAAGTGGGACTAAAAATGTAGACCATGCCCTATAGCTGTAGTGACCAGGGGGAAGATGTCAACTCAGTCATTTTTGCCATCTCTCCTTGATGCTCTGGTGTGTGTGTGTATGTTTGTGTGTGTGTTTGTGACTATTTACTCACTTGTAACTCTTGTTTCTGCAGAGGAAGCTGTTCCTGCTGTTTGCAAAACAAGAACGGTTATTTATGAGATACCACGGAGTCAGATTGATCCCACGTCGGCCAACTTCCTGATCTGGCCCCCATGTGTGGAGGTCAGACGATGCACGGGCTGCTGTAACACCAGCAGTGTCAAATGCCAGCCTTCACGGATCCACCACAGAAGTGTCAAGGTGAGGGGACTTGCTCACTCCCCTTCTTTCCTGGGCACAATTTGGGGAAGGGGAGGTACAGGGTCTCCCATAGGTGGGGCTTTGCATTACCACAGCCATATTTTTTGATAATTGTGCATAAACCAAATCTTGCTTCTTACCCATCTAAAGTCATATGACTAATTGACGTGGAAGTACCGTGAAAAGTGCGAATAGAAAGTCTTAATTGTCTTCAAAGTGCCTTTTGTCTTTCTGATTAGTCTTCCATTGCAATATCTTTTAATAGTTCAGTTTTGCTAAATTCTATCTCTCAGCCCAGATTCTGTGCTAGCAGTCACTCTTAATTCTCAAGTCTTCACTCTATTAATTATTTCCTTTTTGTGATAAAGCTTGTTTTGTACATAATGGTTTGCATGCTGTCTTCCTCATTACATTGTGAGCTGCTCAAGGGCAAAGACCGTCTTTTGCCTTTCTTTGCATCCTCTGCACTTAGCACAGTGTCTGTCACTCAATTGGTGCTTAATGCGTTCCTACTGACTGACTGTTGATGGTCTATAGTTAGCCTCTAAAAAGAACCTGCTGTTTAAAAAAATGTGTTGTGAAGGATACTTGTAGTTTCTAGTTTCTAAGTTTTTCAAGTCCTAATTTTCATAAAGTACCCTGGAGCTGGATCTCAGAGTCTGTGGTTTGTGGAGAATTCACTGGCTATAAGTCTTGAGAACTACATACTCTGTTGAACACACCAGTACCTTTTGCAAGGTCTTTATCTGAGGACCTATTTCTATTACACCCAAGAGTTAAGTTGAGCTCCCATCCCTGACCTGTCAGGTAGGGATCCAGACATTGCCTCCCCTACTTCCCCATAAGAGGGGGTGTATTCTTAACTAGTTTTCTCTTGATTATTGGGGATTGGCTTAGCATAGGTCCAATCCTATTCTCTGTCCCCTGTTGAGTGATGGTCAACATCAGTGAGAGCTGCCCAGAATTAAGGAAACATGTTTGTTTCATACCCAGCTGTATCAGGAGGCCTTGATGGGGAAGGGGAGAGGGCAGGGAGTGGATGACAAGGTTTCTGGAGGTAATTTTTAGCTTACTGGTAATTCAAGGTACATCACAGCTCACTGATGTTATGCACAGAGAAAAGCTGTTCCTTTCAAGGGCTTTAGGGAAAGGGCACCTAACGCTGCCTGCTTAACTTTGCCAAAGAAGAATCAATTCAAGGGATGGTTTCTCCCTGTTGAGCATCGTGAGTCAGTGTGGGGCAATACATAGGTCATTGATTTTGAGAGTTGGAAAGCTCTGGGTTCAATTACTACATTACTGCCAACTCTCCGTTGGACCTAACCTCTATAGTACCTTTCTACTTTGTTTAAATCTATGATCCTATAACCACTCAATTACAGGTGGGATGTGGGATATAGAATCTAGGATGTTTAAACCCTGGCATGACCATTGAATCTCTTTTGAGCCACATAGTTTCCTTAACTTTTCTAGGTCTCAATTTTCATAAAATGGGGCTAGAAATATTTTCTTACTTATTTCATTAGAAATAAGACTACTTACTTCCACTTACTGGCTTTGGACAAGTTAACCTCTTGACCTCAGTTTTCCTGAGGGGGTTGGGGGTAAGTTACTTTTCTCATGTAGAAATGGGTATGTCATCCCACTCACCTCCAGAGGGGATCATTCTTTAGCCTACTATTGGATAGGTGCTACTTTGTATAAGGCCCAAAATCTTTGCGCAATTTTGAAATTCTTAATGTTGGGGCAGCTAGGTGTCGAAGTGGATAGAGCACCGGCCCTGAAGTCAGGAGGATCTGAGTTCCAATCCGGCCTCAGACCGAACACTTGACACTTACTAGCTGTGTGACCCTGGGCAAGTCACTTAACCCCAATTGTCTAAAAAAAAAATTCTTAATGTTGGTCCTATTAAGAATGAATTCGGAGAAGCTGTGGTTAGTGGCCAGGTGTGGGCAGGTCCAGCAATCCTCAGTGGCAGTTTCCCTCGACAGTTGAACTGTCCAAGAAAGGAAATTAGGAACCAGTGAAATGTCCAAGGTTGTGAAGCCACCTGAAATAGCTCAAAAATTTCTCTACTTCAGGGACAGGAGAAGGGCTTGTTGTCCTGTAGCAGAGAATGTGTGTATGTGTATAGCCCATTGACCTGGATGTGATGTGTATTTCTGAGCAAAGGGTCTACTGAAAATATTTTGAGACTTCTAGTTTCATGTATTAGCTTTGCTTCAAACTTGTTGACCATTTGAATAACCTCTCCTCCCTCCCTCCTTCCTCCCTCTCTCCATCCATCCATCCATCCCAGGGATCCCTCCTCCCATAAATCTACACCATTCAAACACAGCTCTCATTTTGGGCCAATAACAACCCATCAAGACACTTTAAATCATATTTTCTTAATTGAATACCACATGATTTAACAGGCATTTATTTGTAATGTGGAGGCATTTGGGAAGAATCAAAATGTGTCATGGGGTTATCTTGATCTCTGGGGAGGTGTATTGAGAAAGTAATTTCTATTTCTGCTGCAAGATCTTTCAGAACTCCCTTTAAAAGCAAAGCAAATAAAAAAGAAAGAAAGAAAGAAAAGGATGTAAAACATGCGATGCTTTTGGCTGACATTTTCCTAATGACATCGCAAGTTCTTGCCTGCAAAGCTCCAATCTCTTGCTTTAGAAGACTGCTTTTTGGGGAAGAGGGGAAGGAGTGGGGCCACCCATAAGGACAGCCTTATCAGGCAGCTGCCCTTGGAGGAGTCTTTTCTGATTGAGGTGTCGCCATTAAAGCTGTTGGCTAGCTGCTTCTGTCCTGCAGAGACTGCCAATCCTCTTAGATCTTCCTAGAGGCAGAGTTGGAAAGGGGCTTGAGAGTTGGTCAGTCCAGCTCTGTCATTTTACACAGGAGAAAATTGATGCTCACCAACATTTCAATGACTCACTTGTTAGTAAGGCATGGGCATATCCTATTAGCAGGTTTAATTAAGAATGGCATTCCTCGTGCCTGCCTCCTCATCCTATTCTTCTTTCGTTATTTTTGGTTTGCCTCAGGGGTTTATTGGTGCACTTATTGGGAGTCCCTGTCACTCCCTCCCTATTTCTGATCGATGAAGCCCCTCCCACTTTATTTTCCTAGTAAATATCTCCGCAAGCCACCCTCATTCATGGATGGAAAACTTTACCTTGGTTTTCTGTCCAAACTGTTATTATCTGAAAAGAAGATGGTCATTTTTGAGATATAGAATGAAAGTTTCTCATGCTAAATTTACCAATAGGCATCAAGACCAAAGAAAGTTCGGACTTAGTAGAATTCACCTTGGAGGTGGTGGGGAAGAGGAGTCCTCTAATCCAACTTTAGTGTCGGTGTGACCCTTACTTCTAAAGACCCCTATGCACTTGGACTTAATTCTTTTTAGATACGTTTTATTTTGGGGGCATTATAGGCTTTCCGAACTATCCCCTCCTACAAAGGACATTCCCCTGACTAGCTGTCAACAGGAAGGAGGAAGGTGTGCTTAAAATCATTCTACGTGGCAGGAGACATCTGGAAGATGTAAGAAAAGGAGCTCTGTTTATTTCTCATGTGTTTTCAAATTTATAAATGTTGGACATTGGGTTAAACTAGCATTGGGGTTACTAGGACAGTTTTCCCTTCTTCCTGTGACTCCGGGGGCACACATACTTGTAACCCATGGGACACAGCTTGAAACTTGACCTTTCTTTGGTTTTATCAAGTGGTGCAGCTGCTTCACGCTGGTGTGTATTTTAATGTGAGGTCCCTAACTCCTCTGACTTGAGTGCCTTTTGTAACCTCTACCTCCCATCCAGATGAACTACAAGTGATGGCCTAGGCATTTGCACCTGTCTCCCCTATTATTTTAGGTTTCTGTAGGTTTCTGCAGTTGCTGCAAAGGGTCTGGAAATCCATTTGTACACTAAGCATTGTTCTTTTTTTTTTTTTTTTTGGTTATGTAGTTTCTCAATCAGTTGATAATCTTAGTAAAACTACTTTGATGGAGGGCTCCTCAATTCATTGACCTTAAAATACTGTCCTCATGATTTTCAATCATTTATTAAGTGACAACTATTTGGAAGGCACTCTACCATACTAGGGAAATGGAAGTTGGGTACTATCATTTTAGATATGGAATGTCAGCCATGAAGTTGGCATGTAAACATACCTCATGGTGGCATCTGTAGTATTAACATTATGGGTTTCTGTCCTGTATCACCTTTCCAGACCTGGGATCTTGGTCCATCCTGTTAAACAAATGTAGCATGATTCCCCATGAGTTAATGGAAGAGAGGGCACAAAACTAAAAATTAATAGTGTCTCTTTCCCTTTTCTGTGATGTGCAATTTGTCCAAGACAAGTCACACAGCCTTCATTTTTTCTTTGCTTTTTTTTGACTTTCAAAGAGTTAAAATCATCCCAGATTTAAGGACTGATTCCATGGCTATTTTCTCATTCAACTCTTCCTAAGCAAATACCCCAGGGCACTATGACCTCCTTGCTTACCCTCTGTTAGCCCATCCGTAGCTGCCACCCACCCAATACTAAACAGGACCTTCTGAAGAAAACATCTGGCCCCAAACAGTCATGAGTCTTCACATAGAAGAGGACAAGAGGTCAGCAGGGAACAGGATACTTATTGTAGAGGCTGCATATTTGTTGCCCCTCTTAGTCTTTCCCAGATAGTGTCCTTATACCAGAACTCATTATACAGACTCCATATTGATTCACTGCAAATGTCAGACACTGGTGAGCTTTGATATAATGAATTGTTTTAGGCATTTCATTCAGCCTCTTTCTTGACGTTCCATATTTAGAACTGAATGCCTTTGTCTTTCTTAGCCAACCCTACCCAGGGGTCATAGGGAAGGTAGTAGGGAAGTGATGGTTAGCAGGTTGATGTGGGCTATTCCTGGAAAGCAGCTGAGGATATGATCAGGTTTAGGCATTGTGGCCAGTTCTCAAACCCCGGCCCCCCCCCCACTTTGTAAAACATT